CACGTCTGCCTTGTTGTGTAGCCCGGGCTTGTAGACGATGTCGTAGTGGAAGTGGGTCTCCAAGAAGTCCACCCACCGCACCTGTCGTCGTGAGAGTGTCGGCTGCGACTTCAGGTATTTGAGGCTGCAGTGGTCAACGTAAACTGTGGTCTTGGCTCCCTCTAGGTAACACCTCCACGCCTTGAAGGCTACGACTATAGCTAAGGCTTCCTTGTCGTGGATGGGGTAGTTCAGTTCTGCTCCGTGTAGTTTCTTACTGAGGTAAGCTATAGGATGTAAACCGCGTCCGTGATCCTGCATCAGTACTACTCCGACTGCCTGGTCACTAGCGTCTGCTTCAACTACGTAGTCCTTTTCTGGGTCCGGTAGGATGAGTACTGGCGCTGTGGTCAGTGCTGTCTGTAGCTGTTCCATGGCTTGTTGATGAGGAGCACCCCATTTGAAGGGCGTGTCCTTTTTCAGTAGGTCGGTCAGTGGCGCTGCTATCTTAGCATACTGTGGCACGGACCTGTTGTAGTTGTTGGCGAAGCCTAGGAACTACTGCAACTCCTTCACGTTCTCTGGAACTTTCCACTTTTTAACGGCTTCGATTTTCCGCGGGTCCACGTGTACGCCTTCGGCACTCACCATGTGCCCGAGAAACTGCACCTTCTTCAGTGCAAAGTCGCTCTTTGACAGCTTCACGTAGAACTTGTTTTTCCGCAGGATCTCGAACACCTTCCGCAGATGCTCCACGTGCTCCTTCATGTTCTTGGAGTATATCAGGATATCATCCAGGTACACTACTACACACTCGTCCAGCGGAGGCCGTAGGATGTGGTTCATCTCCGCCTGGAACGTCGCTGGTGCGTTGCAGAGTCCGAACGGCATCACCAAGTATTCGTAGGAGCCGTATCTCGTACGGAACGCCGTCTTGTGGATCGAATTGTCCGCCATCTTGATCTGCCAGTAACCCGACCATAGGTCCAGCTTCGAAAAGACTGTTGCACCACGTAGTTGGTCCAGTAAGTCGTCTACGCGGTATGGGATACTTGTTTTAAACTGTCTATTTCTTCAGTGCGCGGTAGTCGATGCACATCCGTAAACTGCCGTCTGGTTTTGGTGTGAAGAGAACTGGTGCGCCGTAGGGAGAGGTGGAGGGGCGGGTCAGTTGTCTATCCAGTAAATACTCGATCTATTTTTTCATGTCTGTCAGTTCTGTTGGACTCAGTCAGTATGGTGCACGGAGGACGGGTTTCACACCTGGTTCCTCCACGATCTCGTGCTCGTGGGTGCGTGCTGGAGGTACGCCTGCAGGTAGGTCGTCGGGCATTATATCCTTGTACTGCTCCAAGACCTCCTTGACTCCTGCAGGTAGTTCCGAACTCGGCTTCTCCTCCTCTGCTGCTGCCATGACCAGTGCTAGGTAACCCGTGTTACTCTCGTTCACCGTCTGTTCGAACCGTGCCAGTGTCGTTTCAGGAATGTCCCCTGTATCCGTCCAGCTTCGCAGTGCTATCCGCTTCCCGTTGTTGTAGATGCACACCTTGCTGTTGACCCAATCTATCTCGGGGTTGAACCGCTTCAGGAAATCTCGCCCCAAGATAAAATCTAACCCTTTGATGTTGGTGACTGGTAGCTTCGGCTTCCACCTCAACGCACCTATATGCAGCTGCAGTGATGCTTCGCCGTGGATGGGAAGCTTCGTACAGTCGACAATTGTCGCTGCGAATTGGGTCTCCTCCGCCTTCTCTCCAATTTTCTCCAACGTTTTGCGGTCACACACCGAGTGAGAAGCACCGCTGTCCACCAGTGCCTGGAGGCGTCGCCCATTGCATAACACCTCGAGGAGTAGTGGTTTCTGCTGCGCTGAGTAGCCAAAGAGGGTCTCATTAATAGGATCATAGGGTACATCAAAATGAATACCTTCCCTATTTCCTATACCTGACTCAGCACTTTCCAACTTCACCTGGGGGGTAGGAGGATTTTTCCGAGGCTTGTATAATTTCTCCTGAGCCTGGATGTCTCCTGAGCCTTTGCAGCTGTGTAGGCTTCACCTGTGGGCAACGGGGAGCCTTAACACTACGCTGCGGGGAGAGAATATTAACTCCACGGAACGCACGACCCTTTTCTACGCTCCGTAGTACTTTGCCCAACTTCTCAGGTACCTGAATGATTTCTGAAGGCTTTTTCTTGGCCTCTAATTCTCCCCTGAATTTTTCAAAGGCTTGAAAACCACGAGAAGCAATGTTTTTCGTTAGAGTATCTTTATAGGATACTTTTAACGAATTCTTACTTTCGTGGGTGTTCGGCTGGAGTTTCCCGGTCGGTGCAGAGTCTTTTTTCGCGGAGCCTCCATTCGCCTCGGCGATTTCCCCTGATGCCGGCCGGTCGTGACGTTTTAAATTCGCGCCATCATTTTCTCCTTTTTTCACCCGCTCCGAAGTCGCCACGTCGTCGCCCTTTTCCCCTTTTCGGATCTTTACGCGATCGCCAGGTCGATCCGCGGCTACTGACTGTCGAACATTATATGTGTTGTGTTTGTGTGGGCTACAGTGGGTTAGCCTATAGGGGGTACACAATTCTAGGGTTAGGTACTTGTACTGTTTTCACTGTTAGTTCAATCATTCCAGTCTGTTAAGTTTTGACATGGTTTCAGAGCAGGTCCTTCGCTAGGACCGTTCTTAGGGCCCACCGTTACCTACCTACCTACCTACCTACCGGAGCGCCCTCGTGCGCCATCGCGCCCTCGTGCGCCTCTTACTACCGCGCGCCCTCGTGCGCCCTCGCGCCCTCGTGCGCCTCTTACTACCGCGCGCCCTCGTGCGCCCTCGCGCCCTCGTGCGCCTCTTACTACCGCGCGCCCTCGTGCGCCCTCGCGCCCTCGTGCGCCAATCCCTACCGCGCGCCCTCGTGCGCCCTTGCGCCCTCGTGCGCCTCTCCCTACCGCGCACGCACGGCCTGCTAGCCACCCGCGCGCGGCCCGTTTCCTCGCGCGCGCGACCCGCTAGCCGCCCGCGCGACGCCCTAAGGAACCCACGAACCCCCCGCCCATCCGTCGCGACGCACTGGGGAGCCCGCGAGCGCCCCGCCCGGTCGTCGCGGCGCCCTTGGGAGCCCGAGCGCGCCCCGCCTCGCCGTCGCGGCGCCCTCGGGGGTCGCGCGCGCGTCCCTCCCGCCCGTCCGTCGCGGCGCCTTGGGCAGCAGCGCTCGCCACCCCACCTCCACCCGCCCACCCGACCGTTCAGGCGCCTTGGGGGTCGCGCGCCGTCCCCCCTCGCCATCCCCCGCGCTCCTGCCCCCTATCCCACCCGTTTTAGGGTTTCGGGGCGCTGCTGCAGCTGCCGCCGCTGAACCTGCAGCAGCGGCCGCCGCTGAGACTGCGGCAACTGCCGCCGCCGAGCCTGCAGCTGCTGCCGCCGCTGACCCTGCATCAGCTGCCGCCGCCGACTCTGCAGCCGCTGCCGCCACCGTACCTGCAGCAGCTGCCGCCGCTGGGACGGCAACTGCTGCCGCCACTAGCCCTGCAGCAGCGGCCACCGCCGAGCCTGCCGCAGTTGGCGCTGCCGTCACTGCTGCCCCGGTCCCTGCAGCAGCCGCCCCTGGCATCTCGAGCAGCTGCCGCGGAGCTCCCTACTGCGGCCTGGCCTCGCTCTGCAGTTGCAGCGGCCCCGCTGTCACCTCCGCCTTGCGCCTGCCCCGCCGACCACTGGTGAGCATTCCCCTGCCAGCACTGCTACCGCTGCTACTGCTGCTACTCCCACTGTCACTGCTCCTGCTGTTACTGCCGCTGGTGCTACTGTTCCTGACGTGACAAGATGCAGCTCCAGGACCGTGCGCGTGAGTCCCTCACGCTCCAGCAGGCTCGTGAGTGGTACGCTAGTTTAGGCTGTCGGGGTGGCCGTCGTGGTCGTCGCTCTGGAGTGCGTTGTTCGGGAGCGTCTGGTCGTGGACAGGTGCTGCAGCAGTGTCCTCTTACGCTCCAGCGGGCCCGTGAGTGGTACGCTAGTTTGGGCTGTCGGGGTGGCCGTAGTGGTAGTCGCTCTGGCGTGCGTTGTTCGGGAGCATCTGGTAGTGGACAGGTGCAGCAGCAGTGTCCTCTTACGCTCCAGCGAGCTCGTGAGTGGTACGCGAGTTTGAGCTCTCGGGGTGGTGGTCGTGGTAGTCACTCTGGAGTGCGTCGTTCGGGAGCTTCTGGTCGCGGACCGGTGCAGCTGCCGTGTAGTGTGAGTGAGGCTGCCGCTCTAGGTGCTAGTGAGACCGCCACTGCAGGTGCTCGCGTGTCTGCCACCTCAGGTGATGGTGAGGCTGCCGCCCTAGGTGCCAGTGAGTCTGTCCCCCCTGGTACTGAGTCGACTGAGGCACTGCACACCTTCACCCTGGACTCAGGTGCTTCTCGCTGTTTCTTTCGTGACCGCACTGCCCTTGAGCCACTTGCTCGGCCAGTTGCTGTCTCCCTCGCCGACCCCTCTGGGGGTCCGGTCATTGCGACCTCCTCCACTGTTCTTCCCTGTCCTGCGGTCCCGTCGGGCACACTGTCTGGTCTCCACCTCCCCTCGTTCTCTACGAACTTGGTGGCGGGTTGTGCGCTCCAGGACGCGGGTGTTCACCAGTTCACCCCTGCCTACGAGCGCGTGACACACTGCACGTGTGCTCGGACGGGCCGTCACCTGGCTACCTTCACTCGGCAGCCGGGGTCGGACCTGTACACACTGACCACTGAGTCCCCTCAGGTAGCTGCGTCCGCGTCTGCGTCTGCGTCAGGTCAGCTGTCCGCCCCCTGCTCGTGTCGCTCTCTGGCGCATGAGACTGTCCTCTGGCACCACCGCCTTGGTCACCCGTCTGTGCAGCGCCTTCGGGCCATGCACAAACGGGACCTTGTTGCTGGTCTTCCCAGGGTTCTCCCTCCCCTCCCACCCTCGCCTGCTCCTCCCTGTCTTCCCTGTGTCGAGGGGCGGCAGCGCGCCGCTCCTCACTCCTCCTCCTTCCCCCCGACGACTGCTCCTTTGCAGACGCTCCACATGGACGTGTGGGGCCCAGCCCGCGTCCGTGGTCAGGGTCAGGAGAGGTACTTCCTGATTGTTGTTGACGACTTCTCGCGCTACACCACGGTCTTCCCCTTGCGCACCAAGGGTGACGTCCCTGATGTCTTGATCCCTTGGATCCGCAGATCTCGTCTCCAGCTCAGTGAGCGTTTCCGCTCCGACTTCCCTGTCCTGCGTCTGCACTCTGACAGAGGTGGGGAGTTTTCCTCTGGCCTCTTGGAGGCCTTCTGTCAGCAGGAGGGCATTGAGCAGTCGTTCACGCTTCCGGCCTCTCCACAGCAGAATGGGGTTGCTGAGCGCCGCATTGGCTTGGTCATGGAGGTCGCTCGTACCTCCTTGGTTCATGCGGCTGCCCCCCACTTTCTGTGGCCGTTTGCAGTCCGATACGCTGCACATCAGCTCAACCTCTGGCCCCGTGTCTCCTTACCGGAGACTTCTCCGACACTGCGTTGGACGGGAGAGGCTGGCGATGCGTCGCGTTTTCGGGTCTGGGGATCTCGAGCTTTTGTTCGCGATACGTCCGCGGACAAGCTCTCCCGTCGAGCTGTCCCCTGTGTCTTCCTTGGCTTTGTCCCGGACGCGCCTGGTTGGCAGTTCTACCACGCCACCTCGCGTCGTGTCCTGGCCTCTCAGGACGTCACTTTTGACGAGTCCGTCCCCTACTACCGCCTCTTCCCCTACCGCACTGCTCCACTCCCCCCCCCGCCTCTCTTCCTCGCTCCAGGTGCTGAGGTACCAGACCCCCTCCCCCCTCAGGGTGCCGCTCCCTCAGGTGTGTCCCAGGTAGACCCGGGTGAGCCTGTCGAGGTAGCTGTTGACTCTCGTCCTGCTGGGGGTGCTGAGCCTGGGGGTGCGGAGCCTGAGGGTGCGGAGCCTGGGGGTGCGGAGTCTGGAGGTGCTGAGCCTGGGGGTGCTGCGTCTGGAGGTGCTGCGTCTGGGGGTGCTGAGCTTGGGGGTGCTGAGCCTGACCGTGCTGAGTCTGGGGGTGCTGAGCCTGGGGGTGCGGAGCCTGGGGGTGCGGAGCCTGGAGGTGCGGAGTCTGGGGGTGCTGAGCCTGGGGGTGCTGCGTCTGGGGGTGCTGTGTCTGGAGGTGCTGAGCCTGAGCGTGCTACACCTGGAGGAGCCCTCTCCTCCCAGCAGCTGCAGGAGAGGTACCTACAGTACTGCCGCCTCCGGAGAGGTGCTGCTGGAGCTCGTACCAGTACTTCCCCTCCTACCCAGGAGCTCCCCCCCATTCAGCAGATCCGAGAGTGGTACGCGCGGCGCTGCAGTCTTCGGAGTGGTGCTCCTGGTGCTGCAGACCCTGGGGGTGGCGCTGCTACTGGTGCTGAGGACCCGGGCGTTGGGGCTGCTGCTGGTGCTGAGGACCCGGGCGTTGGCGCTGCTGCTGGTGCTGAGGACCCGAGCGGTGGCGCTGCTGCTGGTGCTGAGGACCCGGGCGTTGGAGCTGCTGCTGGTGCTGCGGACCCGAGCGGTGGTGCTGCTGTTGGTGCTGAGGACCCGAGCGTTGGAGCTACTACTGGAGCTGAGGACCCAGACGGTGGAGCTGCTGCTGGTGCTGAGGACCCGAGCGGTGGAGCTGCTGCTGGTGCTGAGGACCCGGACGTTGGAGCTGCTGCTGGTACTGCGGACCCTGCCGCTGGTGTCTCTGCTGGTTCTGGAGACGCTGCGCGGCCGCGACCGTACTTCGTACCACTTCTTCAGCAGGTTCTTGGTCAGGCTCCTCCTCCTTGTCCTCCTCCCTCCGTAGCGTGTCCTCCGCCTGTCCAGTCGCAGTCACAGTTACCGCCTGCCTCGCCTCTCCCTGGTCCCTCTCCTTACACTGGTCCCATAGGAGGTCTTACAGAGCGTCGTGAGCCTGCGTCTCGTCCTGCGTCGCCTGTTCGTACTGCTCGCACTGGTCGTCGTGTCCCACGTGAGCGTCCTCCTCCTGTCCCTGGCACTCACTACATGACTCTGCGTCCCTCCACTGCTCCTCAGCGTGTTCCGCTGCCGTCTCCTCCTGCGTCCTCTCTACCTACTCTTCCTGATCCGGAGTCTGACTCCCGTCGTGCTGCCAGTCCCACTGTCACCCGTCTCCTCGCTACTGTTGTCACTGACCCCACCTTTGAGTCCTCTGCTGCGTCTGCTCTGGTCGCTGAGTTGATAGACTTTGCTGCCCGGTGTCGTCTAGACTACGCCACTAGCCTTGTTGCTGAGTCTGAGTCTGAGTCTGTCTGACCTCCGTCCGTCGGGGGTGAGTGTGCTCTTGGCACGGACGTCCTTGAGGACAGACAGGAGGAGTTCCAGTGCTTTGCTGCTGCTTTGCCTCATCTCGTGTCCATGCTAGGTACCCCTGAGGGAGACCCGGATGCACCAGACATCCCGACCCCGCGCACTTACGCTGAGGCGATGGCGGGTCCCTACTCCTCTCAGTGGCAGACAGCCATGGACGCAGAGATGGCTTCCTGGAAGTCCACACGCACCTACGTCGACGAGGTTCCCCCACCTGGGGCGAACATCGTCAGTGGCATGTGGATTTTCAGGGTGAAGCGGCCACCGGGTTCTCCTCCTGTCTTCAAGGCGCGCTACGTGGCTCGAGGCTTCAGTCAGCGAGAGGGAGTTGACTTCTTCCAGACCTTCTCCCCCACCCCGAAGATGACCACTCTTCGGGTGCTGCTACACATAGCCGCTCAGCGCGACTACGAGCTTCACTCACTTGACTTCAGCACTGCTTTCTTGCAGGGCAGCCTGCACGAGGAGATCTGGCTACGCCGCCCTCCTGGCTTCACTGGGTCGGTTCCTCCTGGTACCCAGTGGAGGCTCCAGCGGCCGGTCTACGGTCTCCGCCAGGCACCGCGTGAGTGGCACGACACACTGAGGACGACACTTGCGGCTCTTGGTTTTGCTCCTTCTACTGCTGACCCGTCACTGTTTCTACGCACAGACACCTCGCTGCCGCCGTTCTACATCCTCGTGTACGTTGACGACTTGGTCTTTGCCACTGCTGACACCGCGGCACTCGCCCACGTGAAGTCGGAGCTACAGAGGAGACACACGTACACAGACCTGGGTGAACTGACAAGCTATCTTGGCTTGCGGATCACCCGGGACAGAGCACGACGCACCATCACCTTGACTCAGTCACACATGGTGCAGCAGATCCTTCAGCGCTTCCGCTTCACGTACTCCTCGCCTCAGTCCACTCCTCTGCCTACCGGTCACTCGCTCTCAGCTCTGCCTTCGGATGAGTCCGTAGAGCCGAGTGGCCCGTATCCAGAGCTTGTGGGCTGCCTCATGTACCTGATGACCTGCACTCGACCTGACCTTGCATACCCTCTTAGTATCCTTGCACGCTATGTCGCTCCTGGCCGTCACAGGAAGGAGCACATGGATGCCGCTAAGAGGGTGTTGCGCTACTTGTGCAGTACGTCGGGCATGGGGCTAGTGCTTGGAGGGCGAGACCGAGTTGTACTTACTGGACACTCAGACGCTTCTTGGGCAGACGACCAGGCTACTCAGCGGTCGTCTCAGGGTTACACCTTCAGCCTTGGCTCCGGCTCAGTTTCTTGGCGTTCTACACGCTCTTCTTCTGTTCTCAGCTCCAGTTGTGAGGCTGAGATCTACGCCACAGCCATGGCTGCCCAGGAGCTACGCTGGCTGACCTACCTGCTGACCGACTTGGGAGAGCGGCCTCGTTCTCCTCCAGTGCTGTACGTCGACAACCAGGCTGCCATTTCCTTGTGTGAGGAGCACAGACTGGAGCACAGAACGAAGCACATCGCCCTGCGGTACTTCCTTGCTCGAGAGCTGCAGCAGCGTGGTCAGCTTCGTCTGCGTTACGTGGCCACTGAGGCCAACCTTGCTGATGTGTTCACCAAGGCGCTTCAGCCTTGTGACCATCAGCGTTTCTGTACTCTTCTAGGCCTTGTGCCTGCTGGACCTCACTTACTTACTTCTTGACTCTTCTTGTACTGTGATCTTTATATATGTGCCTGGATGTTTACACTTGCTAGGTTGTGATCACTGTATCTCTTGTTATATTATCAACCTGCATGTGAACTGGTCTTGTGACCACTTGCTTGTGCTCGGAATTTGTGTGGTATCCTTGAGATCCACCCTGAGCCTGTTTTGCTTTGCTTTGCTTTGCTTTGACTGGTCTTGTGACCCCTTGCTCTCCCCCACTTTGCCTATGGGGGTGTGTCGAACATTATATATGTTGTGTTTGTTTAGGCTACAGTGGGTTAGCCTATAGGGGGTACACAATTCTAGGGTTAGGTACTTGTACTGTTTTCACTGTTAGTTCAATCATTCCAGTCTGTTAAGTTTGACACTGACGATTGCCAATTTTTTACTTCGGGGGTGCTCCACTGTTACCGCCCTGCAGTGCCGCACGAGCCTTCTTCATTTTGTAACACGACAAAATCTGATGCCCTGCTGCGCCGCAAAATTCGCATTTTGTCGGCTGCTGCTTCGCGTCGTATTTGTCGATATCCATCGGTTCGGCGAACGTGGGGGGTGCCGATCGCTCCGTGCCGAATGTACGGTTCGGCGCGAAACGTCGTGTTTCGGGTTGACCTCGAGTCAGCGCGTCGTATCGCTCGGCAGCACGCACGATGTCGCGATAGCTGTTGTAATTCGCCGCAATCACCTGCCGCCGAATCTCCATTTTTAACCCTTCTGTGTACGCCTGGATTTTTTCGCCTTCGGTCAGGTCGGTGATGCGGTTGAACATCTGCTGCGTGTACTGTGATACACTACTGTATTGCTTGTGCCGATGATTTGCTGACGCGCCATGTAGGTCGTATTGATGGGTTCGAAACGTTCGATTAAATCTGCCCGAAACTGTGCCCATGATTTCTCCCTGCAGGCCACGTCAGTGTAATAAATCCACTCGAGTGCCGGTCCACGTAACAGTGTCGCTGCGAGCCGAATTCTTGCTGCGTCGTGTGTCGGGGTCGAACAGCCAATGGCCTCGAAGTAAATTTCGAGGGTGGCCACGAATCGCCGGACGTCGGATCCCTTCGCGCTTGGATCGAACGCCTCAGGGAGCCTCGGTCGTGCTGCTTCGAGGTTCGGCGACAGTGGTGCCATCGGTCCGTGAAATGTCGGTGTCGCCACTGCTGCTGGTGTCCTTGCTGCTACGTTCGCTGCTGCGTTCGCTGCTGCTGCGGTGGCGATTCCTGGTTGGTGTGTCAGAAGGGCCTCGAGTCGTCGTAGCGCCGCCTGCGTCTGCTCCATGTCGGTGCGGAGGCTCGCGATGTCGCTCGTGGTCGCATAGTTGTCGCCTTGGCCCTCCATGCCTGACATTACGCGTCCGAAAAACCAAAATGAGGGGGATCGAAAAACACGGAACCGGTTTTACGTACCCGAAATCGATGTTTAACTGCGTCGCCCCCGCGGTTTTTGAAGACTGGGTTTTAGCGGTCGAAAAAACTTCGCGTGTAAACGGGCTCTGATACCAAGTGTGAGGATCTAGGATCGAGCTCAGAAAAGAGAATGTGAATTGAATGTTCACCTGGGTACAACACGAGGCTATATATAGGCTCGACACAAGGCCCTGTAACCAGGTGTTGTGAAGGTTCCGAGGGTCGCGAAGCGTCCCGAACAGACCCTTCCCGAATTCGGTAGAAGGCAATTCGGTGGCAACCGAATAGCCTAGAATTCGGTGTACGCAACCTAGTTCGGTGCCTATAACTATAATAACTATAGTAAAAGCAACAAACCTTGGAAATCAAGCAAAAGCAAGCAAAGCAAAATAATGCTAAGCTAGATAATGCATAATAAAGTCCAGGCAAGCTAGCAAAGCCAGCATAAGCCGTCGTACTCTCACAGGTTCCCTAGTACACTTCGTGTACAGGAAACCCTTCATCTTGTGCACGAGGTCCTTGTCCCAACCTACGCAAAAGCTATGGATCTCGCACACTGCAGAGGGTCGGCTGCACCTCCCACACACCCGACCACAAAGTCAGCTTTGCCCAAGGGAGGGCGGGGCCCAGTCCCGTCAAACAGTTCCGCGTGCACACAACACACAGCACGCCGGTCACCGCACCAGCCATGCAGTAGGGCACGGCACCTACTGCTGCACATCGTCGTCACCGTCGCCGACATTAGCTAGGCGAACTTGGCCGGTCGTGACGGAGCACCGGTTGAAGGCCGGAAAGTGCAGCCCCTTCGTCAGGAAGTCAGCTGGCTGCTCAGAGGTGGGGATGTACATCAGCGCAATCTTACCGCGCTTCACCATCTGCTGCAGCCAGGCGTAGCGTCGCTCCATGTGCTTGAGGTTGCCCTGCAGCCCCACGCCTTCCGTGATAGTGATGGCCGACTAGTTGTCCACACAAAGGACGGTCGGCGTCCTAGGGTCCAACAGCTGGAACTCTGCAAGGAGGATCCAGAGTCGACGAGCCTCCTTGCCAACTTCCATAGCCGTGACGTGCTTCGACTTGGTTGAGGAGAGCATCGCCAACTTGATGCGCTAACTCGACCAGGAGACTGCGGCCCCTAAGAAGAGGATCACGTAGCCGCCTATGCTCGTCCAGTTCTGCTTATCGCCCGCGTCGTCGGCGTCCACATAGCCGACCAGGCGCAGCAACTCTGGTCCACTGCCGAACTCCAAGGCGGTGTCACGGGTGTAGGCAAGATAGTGCAGCGGTCAACCTTGCGCCAGTGGTAGTAGCTACGCACAGTCAGGCCGCTTCCAAGCTTGCTGCACGCGAAGGCGATAATCGACCTCGTCATCGTCGCCGCAGACTGGAGTGAGCCGACCTTCTGTTGGTATTCCTCATCTTTGTGCTACTAAGCATCCTCGTCGTCGAACGTCAGCTCGGCGTAGGCGTCGACGGAGACCGGCGTCTTTGGGATCGCCCGGTCTGCTCCTCGTTGATGAAGCGTCTACACAGCTTGTCGACGTAGGTCTGCGGGTGAAGCCACTGTTAGAATCTAGCAGCAGGAATGCTTGAACTAACAGGATGCAGGAGTACAAGTAGTAAACCCTAACTAGGTTGTACCCCATATGGGCTACCCCACTACAGCCTAGACAATATGCAGCACATATAGTTTGACACACCCCCATAGGCAAAGTGGGGGAGAACAAGGGGTCACACGACCAGTCAAGAGAAGCAAAACAAGCTCAGGGTGGATCACAACGTCACCACGCATTCTGAGCACAAGCAAAGGGCCACTGGGCCAGTTCACATGCAGAGATATA